GTTCGTATCGGAGCCGAAAGCCGTCCTTATAATCGGCGGCCAATTGGAAAGGGTCTGAATGGAAGCGCAATACAATGGGTCCGTTGGCTTTGGTCACTACCGGCGCGTCGTTCAGCATATCTGACTGATAGTGGAGTCGTCCGCCGCAGTATCGGTCATAAGTAGGAGCGTCTCCCCTCTGAGAGGCCGCAGGAATCAGGAGATAGTCGTTGTCGCAGACATTGTCGCCCACTCCTGACCGCTCTTTATTGGGTTGAGTGCTGTCCATAGACCAGACGAAGTCGGAAGCTGTGAATGTGACCCGACATGTGTTGGGCTGGCGTTCAATGCAAATGCCGTAATCCATGTTATTTAGGTATTCACCGAAATTGAAGCTCTCGATAGTACCGCTCGTTTGAGTGAAGTACTGCACAACAAATAGCTTATTATTAGTCATTTGAATCAAGATTTAGCAAAATGTCTCACTTGTAAGCAACCCATTGGTGCGGGCAATGAATATGGAGGATGTGCTCGGGGCAGGAATGGGATGTAAGGGGTGTTGGAGCCGAGGCCTGAGCCGAATCCGAATTGTCGCGAATTTTGTTCGTATCGGAGCCGAAAGCCGTCCTTATAATCGGCGGCCAATTGGAAAGGGTCTGAATGGAAGCGCAATACAATGGGTCCGTTGGCTTTGGTCACTACCGGCGCGTCGTTCAGCATATCTGACTGGTAGTGGAGTCGTCCGCCGCAGTATCGGTCAAAAGTAGGAGCGTCTCCCCTCTGAGAGGCCGCAGGAATCAGGAGATAGTCGTTGTCGCAGACATTGTCGCCCACTCCTGACCGCTCTTTATTGGGTTGACTGCTGTCCATAGACCACACGAAGTCGGAAGCTGTGAATGTGACTCGACATGTGTTTGGCAGCCGTTCAATGCAAATGCCGTAATCCATGTTATTTAGGTATTCACCGAAATTGAAGCTCTCGATAGTACCGCTCGGTTGAGTGAAGTACTGCACAGAAATAGCATATTATTAGTCATTTTAATCAAGATTTAGGAAAATGTCTCACTTGTAAGCAACCCATTGGTGCGGGCAATGAATATGGAGGATGTGCTCGGGGCAGGAATGGGATGTAAGGGGTGTTGGAGCCGAGGCCTGAGCCGAATCCGAATTGTCGCGAATTTCTATCGGACAGCAAATTCTTCTTATTCCTGAAATTGCAGTCGATTTGAGTGATCCTAACGTGCCATCGATAGTCACCCACAGAGTTGGTCTCAAACACTACAGACGCTGACCTCTCAGGCAGATCACGCGGTAAACTGATATACACTAATGAAATGACATTTGGTTTTACAATTAGTGAACTAAAAGTTATCATATAATGGATGCCATACTATGTTGATTGCGGTTAAGTCCACAGATAACGGGAACACTTAGTGGCGCGAAACCCGACGACGAGATTCTGAATTTATCTCCCAAACAGTTGCCTTGTGTGGGCTGATCCAACTGGAAGTCCATAAAGTCAAGTCTTAGTTGACAGACGTCTGTGTCATATATATTGACTGTTAAGTCACAGAAGTTTGCCTGAGTGTCCGATAGAGGATAACTGGGATTCTTAAAGTAAACCACTTTATTGTATGTCGTGTTATGACACGAACGCGACACTAATCCATAGTTTGGTAACAATGGGTGAAATTTATAATCAATTTCCAAACTTATAGAGTACTGTATAACAAGTCTTACCTATACAACAGGCACCTAATCCACGGGCACAGGGACTGCTGGGAACTCCTCCGAGTTTCTTGCACTCTAACGGTGTATAACAAGTGCCCGTTTGGTTACTCGAGTCAAAACACTCCTCATTTGGGAAGCGAACGATACTTATAAGACTCGGCCGTTGGAAGAATGGCAGCACTGATGGAATGGATGGAAATCAGCGCTTATTATACATACATTTTTTCAGTATATATTCCTCACAAGAATACAACACTTACGTCGGGAACCATTCATTCTTGAGGTTACATTAGGTTGAGATTCATTGACTTCTGGGTATGAAATCTCATCCAAATCTAAAGAAGTATCCAACTGTTGACAAAATATTGCCGAAAGTAATCCAATGAGTGGCACATAAGTAGCAAATGAAAAGTAATACATATTTTTCGATAGTTTACGAAAAGAAAAATTTAAAAATTTATTGAACAACTCGTAGAATAATAATTAGTAGAAAACAGTTTTACAAATCATTTATATATCGCGTAATGTGTCGACAATAGTGTTTGACGTAAAAACATTAAATGAAAAAATAAAGTAAACGTTTAGAACATAAGTAATGGAAACGAAATGATAATTTGGAGTTTAATATAATGAGAAATATATGATTTAAACATAATTTTTATAGCGTTTTCGATAACACATGCCTGCGATTGACACCGATATTAGAGATCACAACACGTTGTGTCCGGGTATTGGGTTTTGCGGAACAGTGCGAACACAACACACTAATCAACGCCCAAACACTCAGGTCTTTACCGTTTAACATAAAGTTTATGTAAAGTTATATACAGTTCTATATGTCTAAGAAAATCGTGTTTTTGAACTCATAATCAAATTAAATGTAAACATTAAATTAGGCCTAAAATCGTGTTTCGTTTGCATAAGAAATACAAGTGAAAAGAATTTAACAAATTTATGGCAATTTGAATGACATTCGTATTTGAAATACACATTTGAAACAGTATTTTCTCCTCAAATTCAAAGTTTGTTTGCTTTTGTGGGGGTTTGCGTTAAAAACATACTCCAAATGTATTTTCTCTATCACAGAATCTATTGTTTTAAATAACTATTTAATATAAAAATATTTTGTTGACAAGAAATTGTGTTATTATTTATCATTATTTATTAAAATTCGCTAAAATCTTATTAAACTATTTTGTATATCTCTATAGAGTTTGTCGTCTAATCGCAAGTATTTATCTTTTTTTGCGTCAAAGAAATAAATGGGTTCTCGGATTAGGTTTGGATCGTAGCCTTCATTCTGGAGACTATTTTTGGGCAATTTATGAGTTCCCGTCATTTCGAGACATTTACAAATCCGTATGAATACAGGTATTGCGAATGCGGGCAATACTTTCTTCAGGTTCCGCAACAACTTATTCAAATCCAAACCATTGTTTTGATCCAATATGGCTGCCATCCCAGCGCGACCCTCACAGCCGGGCACTTCCACTCCATACACCACACAATCCACTAAATGAATGAATTTACTAATAATGGTCTCGATCTCCATTGTCGACACATTCTCTCCCTTCCATCGGAACGTATCGCCGGTTCTGTCTTTGAAGTAAAGGTATCCCAACTCATCCATTGTGAGCAGATCTCCAGAAGCAAAAGCGCGATCGCCTTTACTGAACACATCGTATATGATCTTCTTCTGAGTCGCCTCTTTGTTGGCGTAGCCGTCGAAAGCACGGGTCGGATCAGAGTCTATGATTTTGCCCACAAATTCTCCCGTTTCGTAGGGTTTGGCGTGAAGGCAGATACCGTTCTCATCGCGAAGGTGTTCGCCCGTAGACTCCTTAACCTTGACCAGAGAGGCCGGGTATAGGAAGGGCGCGATTTGCGATATAAAACCACACGAACCCTCTCTGTTATCGACATTTACTATCAAACATAAGACAATTAATACTACAATCAATGCAATAGAAAACTCATACTTATATTAGCGTTGCCTTCAGTAGAGCCGTAGAGTTCGCCGACTTGTTTGATATTAAAGCGTTGCGTAAACTCTTTCCAGATCTTAGGTCTGAGTCCATTGCCAAATATAATCCTCACGTTGTGCTGCTTATCCGACGGCTGCGGCTTCTGAGCCAACAGATAACGACATATCTCTCCGATATATTGTGCGGCCTTTAAATGCAATACAAGCATAGAATGTAGTATTCGTTAAGCAAATGGTGTCTTACAGTGCAGTTGTATTTAATACAGTCCTTCCAGAAGTTTGAGGCCGAAAATTTGTTACGTATGGCCATTGGATTACCAAATATGAGTGACTGACAGGTGCCCAGAGTGCCACCGGCTAAGTGGTACAGCGGGAGACTAGTGTATAAGACGTCGTCATCTCTTAGTCTTATCATATTCTTGATGGCAGAGCCCATCCATATATATCTGCTGTGCTTAATGATGGCTGCTTTGGGCAGACCTGTCGTTCCCGATGTGTATATGTAGAAGAGTCGGTCTGTTATGCAATTGTATTCGTTATATGAAATTCCGATCAAAACAAACGGCTTATCACAACATATTTACTAATCGATTAAGCATTAAGATTCTTATCTCAAGTGAATATTTACCATAAAATATAATAATTTATGCGAAAAGAGATTTAAAAATAAGATTTAATGTCAGATATTAGCAAATCGAGAGAATTTCGTAACTGATATATAAATGCCATTAAAATGTCACAAAAAATAAGAATCCCTTTCATAACGAAGTCATAATTTCCTCAAAATTTAATCATTTGTAAAATTTAAATAAATTACTTTAAAATGTATGTAATTTCGTAAAGATTTCTATTTTTTAATAGCAATTAAAATGTATGGTGAATGAAACGCTAATGCTGTGCATATAAATGGCATACCATTGAAGTTGCCTCTGTTCAGAGTTGAAGGTCTCTCGCAACTACTTTCGTCAATAAGTTGTTTGAGTGGTTTTGCTTTCACACAATTTGGATCAAAGTCTCCAAAGCAAAAGTATTGCATCGTCCCGTTCCCATTGAGCTCAGGTATTGCATCGGTTACGGCTATAATGCAAAATATGTTTACTTAATGCTGATTACAAATTAACGAGAATTTATTTTGAAGGCGTTTTGCATTTAATCACAGATTTCGAAATACATTTCGTTATTAATTATTAGGATTTATAAGTAGTGAAAAACAATTACCATCACTGAGTTCGCTACCAAATATCAAAGCTTTGCATTTCACAACTGTCACCGAATGGACCAATTGGTCGGACAGTAGGTTCGTGTTTATCAGAGCGGTCACGAGACCAGCTTTGGCTAAACCTAACCAAATGCCTATGTATTCGGGCTTATTCTCCATATAGAGGGCCACTTCTTGGCCGGGATGGTAGCCGTACTCGAGGAACAAGTTGGCCACTCTATTGGAGAACTCATCGATTTGACGGAAAGTCCACTTCTGGTCCTCATAGTAGAAGAGCACTCGACTAGCATTAGTTTGGCATAATTTGGTGAATATTTTGGGAACCGTTGCGTTGTCTCTCTTCAGTAGATATAAATACAATTGGGTTCTCTTGAATCGGTATAAACTCCTAAACGAATCAATCAAATAATCATAAGTTTGTGTCACATGAGAGAAAGTGTTTATCTTTCACGGGATAGTATCTAAAGTGATACATAAGTATTTGAACATAAGATTGATATGGGATTTACATGAATGAGCATTAATTAATAATTAATTCCTAACGACCCATAAATCGCTTGTATTTCTCGAGAGCCACGGAAGAGATGAGGAAAACTCATAAATATCGAAATGTTTAGCTAAACTCTTGAAGCACTCAAATGCTCATAAATAAGACAAAACTTTCCCATTCATTAGATTAAACACTCCTTTCCTACCGCTTCTAATAATAATTAATAAATAAATAAAAAGTCAAATATTTTGAAAAGACGCGCAAAAATTGGGAATAAGTGACACTTAAATAAACGGAAAGATTATATTTCAATTAAAATCTTATATTGTATTTCAGATAAAAATATTACGGTATATTGAAAATCTAGATTTTAGTGAGTGTTTGCATTTGAAAATAAATTATATTATGATTACATACAGTAAAAAGTAAAAACACAGGATTTAGATATATTGAAAAAAGCATTAAATAAAGTAAAAGAAAACAAATTATAATTTTTTCGTAAGAAAATGCAATTTCTATACAATATTGTATTGTTTTTGGTATTTCTTAGAGAAAATTGGAAATTAAGTCCAATTTACACATTAAGGCAATCGATAGCGAGAGTACGACCTCTCGACCCAATCCATCAGCAAATTATATGATTTAAGACAAACTTTCCTTTAAAGCGAAATAAACACAGTTTTAACATTCAATTTAACTCAAAACAAAAATCACATTTTCCTACAGAACTGATACAAACACAGTATAGGAATCGGTGTCAAGTTTAGTACGAGAATTGAATAGTGTTTTAGATTAAAATCTCACTTTTTATGCAATTTATGCCTCAATTAAGTCTTGGAATACATTATAGAGGAAAGTAAAACTCGATTAACATTGAGAGCCATTCCCTCCATAAGTAATATTGTTTTTGGGGATATATTTCTTAAACGATGTGTGATTATTAACAAATCATTTCTTTCATTTTGACATCATTTACAATCAATTTTAAGACATTTCTTAAAAACAACAACAAATTTCTAATAATATAGTGTTATAGCGAAAACATATGAATCAATACTTTCTATACCATAGGCTATACTCTGATAGAGTCCGACCTCAATCTCTGGTAATTCATAAATCTGTTAGCATTTCGACAATTTGTAGGCCATTAACACACTTAATATTATGATCAAAGGATATTCTTAAATGCATTTACATATTGCTATTATACACTATTCAACAAATCATCAATTGTTCACTAAATTCACTAACAATAGGAATCAAGAATAGGAAATTATACGACAATTCATAACAAATCAAATATTTTTAAAGTTTTAATAAACACTTACTATTTTGTTAAAAGGGAGGGTAGGGATGAGAGTAACTGAACTAAAGGATTGAACCGATGTTTTAAGCTAATTATAGCTCATTTCCTGGAAACACAAGTTGTGTATATTTGTTTTGTACAACGACTTTAACTTGCTTTTAATGTGAGCAATCAATAGCTTTTATAACTGAAACAAACATTAAAAAACAAATCAAAAACTAAATAATTGAAACTAATGTGAAAATAAATAAAAGTTATGAATGCCTTCAATATTCTTCGGGAATTCCTTACAACTCATAAATCCATTTATAGCTCATTAACCCCTTAAGAAAGTATGCGATTGTCGTACACAGTATTGGACCCAATGACTGCATTTTCAAGTTTTCAATACATTTTATGATTACTATTATTGCTATTCATTCGCTTCTATTCATAGCATTTATGATATAAATTACTTTTATTGTTAAAATACATCATAAAATGCGAACAATATTTGATTTAAAATAAAATAAAATAAACGATTGGCTCTCAAAATAAGACATTCTTTGGACAAAACAGATATTTATCGATATGACAAATGTATGAAAAAAGTGTTCACTCACTTGAGATCCCGTCCCACCGTCTTATAGAAAACCCATGCGAACCGATAGCCACCAGTCGTGAGGTATAAGACAAACACAAAGACGGATGCCTTCCATAAATCGATGGCCGGACCAGTGATGAGACCGATAAGAATGGCCACAAAGAGGAAGGTTTTCATAAGAATTTTCTTCCTTTCGTTAAGTGCCGTCAGATTGAAAGTCATGTTTGGAAATGAAAAGTTGTTTGTCGAGGGACGAAATGCTAAGACATTAACTCTTCATAGATCTCACAGTCAGAGCAGACTATAAGACAGTGTGTGAGAGAGAAACACAACTAAACCATTGGATATAACTGTTTGTGAGATCGGAATCCAGTTTTCGCCACCAATTCACTGACTGTATGGATGAATGGGACGGATCTCTGTTGGGGGAGAGAGTGAGTGAGTGAGTGAGTGAGTGAGAGAGAGAGAGAGAAAGGTATCCCTCGTTAATACACTTGTTTCACACAAATAGCCTATTAATCAATCAATTATTATCAAGTCCCATACACTTTGTTAATTGGTTCACTAATTTTCAGTACATTCAATATATGTACAGTTATTTAGTCTCAATACAAATGCTATTCAATAAATCTGTTATTCAAATGAATAATTATTTATATTTATCGCACTGTCTGTCACATAAACTTGTCGTTTAATATTACGTTAATTTTATATCATATCAAAGTCTATCGTATATGCGGTTATGTTAAGTTCAAATCACATACTAATCTCAAAGTC